ACATTGTAGGCTTAGAAGAATTTCACTCAAAGAAGAGTAAATGTCAAGAACATTTCGACGTCTACAAGGAATGCAAGAAAAATGAGGTATAAAAATTCATTAAAAGCCAGAAAATCTTTACTTTATAACATATGTATTGAGGTAATTTTGTACATTTTTCTGATCCAATTCGTGTTTTTCCCCTGGTTATGACAAAGAGAAGCTCGATTGGAACGCAATCGAAGTCGGTCTCTCTTTTCATGAGTTTTTATTGCTAACAATTTTCTTATCTTTTTTGTAATGTGAGCAAAGGGTCCAATGAGCATGGAACTGCTTGCTAATACTTGATATTTCTGTAAAATGATTCTCTTAGCTTGTGGAATAGTGCAATTGAATACTAATAAAATCATGTTGAATTCCTTTAGGTGTCTTCTTCGTGAATGTGAAATGTCGTCTCAGCGCTACTTGCTATAACTTAATCTCGTAGGTAGTGTTTCTTCTTGATCTAACATTGCATACTAAGCTTTGGTTTGCATACGTAGCTTATATTTTGGTTTACTATGATGCATATTCTACCTTTTTTTTATGCAAAACTCCAATTTTGCACCCGCTTTTGTACATTCTCATATAAAATTAAACTGAAATAGTCAAATAAGAATAAGCCTAAAAACAATTACTAAAGTTTTTGTTGATTTATTCTGAATAGTCATCTTATCTTCCATATAATAATATCACCTATTTGTCATGTCCACGTGTAAATTGTATGTAGCACACAGTATACTTTAAACTATAAAAATATCTTAAAGAAAAGAGAATACTATTGGTAGACACTCACTGTCGTGACGTCCTATGTAGCATAGCCACCATTGGTGATTTGATACATTAATGCGGTGGTTTTTTATTGTCTCATGCATCAAGTCATTAAATGTTATATGTATGACATGTATGACGATTATGATAGTGAGCGACTGCAAATAGCACTATTCTAAAAAAACCAAGAAGATTGTTAAAAGGCTTAAAATAGTCAAAAAATGATATTCATCAGAATTATCTATTGAGAAAAACTGTCCAAAATCAGCAAAGAATTGAGAGAACTCTTCGATGACCTTCTTTCGGACTTACTCACCAGACCAAAAACCCCACGTATCCAACTCATTCCTATAATTTGCATGATGAACCCATCTTCCTCTCCACTGCCAAATTCCTTTCCAAACATTGAAATAATCTAGCCCCTTGTAGCTTGTCATGGGCATTAATTCGAGCTTGACCCAGGTGTGCATGGGTCGTCTTAGTCAGATTGTAGTCCATTTTGCCCACCTGAGCAATTGAGGATTTGCAACCTGTTTTTGTTTGGATGAAAGCATTTTAGGAAATGTTGACATATCTGGATGGTCTAGATGAAATCCAAGACCTCAACTGTTTTGATTTCTATTTATCTGATAACAATGGATTGATACTTGAGCGTGAATTCTTTTGCTTTGGAGTTAAAAGGGTTTTTTCTCTGATGAGCAGGGAAATCCTATTGTTGATGAACAAGGTGATATTATTGATGAAGAAATTAGTTATATTAGAAATGATATTGGGCCTAACTCAACCTAACAAAATCGGCTTATTAGGGGAGGATTGTCCTCACCTTATTAACTGGATCGTGTAAATATCACCAGTTAATGTGAGACTCTAATACGTCCCCTCACGCACAGTGTGGATTATGCCAAACAACTGTGAACAAATCGATATTGGGTGCACCCAACATTGCAAAATTGGGTCTGCTCTAATACTATATTAGAAAGGATATTGGGCCTCATTCAACCTAACAAAACCGGCTTGTTATGGGAAGATTACCCTCACATTATTAGGTGGATCGTGTAAATATTACCAACCAATGTGGGACTCGAATAAGTTCCAAGTGACTATCCTTTTATTTCAATCATCCCGAGCTTTTCATGGCCAAGAGGCTACGGTTGGACTCCAAATAAGATTGCTTTATGTTAGTATCATCCACTCCTCCAATGAGCACTTGGTCAAGTAGCAAATCTTGGAACTCCATGATGAAACGAGATGACTCAACAAGTCAGCCATGTGAAAAATCATCCTTTTAAAAATGTATTTTGTCATTCGTAATAAACACGCTTTGGAAAAGCAAATGAATAATAGTTATATAGGTAACTCAGTGTATTGCTTCCGGGCCTGGCTTTGAGCCTGCCCAGAAACACGGCTCACCAAACCGTTCTCCAAACTTCCGTAACAAGTTCTCAACTTCATAAATGATGTAAATTACTTATCGTCGCATATATCATAACTTTAAGAGGTTAGATTTTAATTCTCAATCTAAGTCGATGGCTTCAAATTTGAAGTGAGACACATTTTTCAATTAATGAAGTTTTCAACAAGTTCGTTTATTAAATGATGACGAAACAACTACAATGAAATGTTGTGGACCAATATCAAACGATCATATTATTCGTTGTTCACGTGATTAACCCGATATTTATTAAACAATATCAAACGATCATATTATTCGTTGTGCACGTGATTGAGTTCGACTTCTACATCTACATGTTTTTTTAATTCCAACTTTTCACAATTGAAAATTATATATCTTTGTGTAGATGATTGTATAATGATGAATAATGCTATTTATTACAATTAGTGTTAAAACACCAGTTATATAACACTGATGTGAAATTAATGGCCTATTTGAGCCCCATTTTTTTTTTTTTATGTAAATGCATTTTGAAATAGTAAATTGATGAAAAATGTAATATTATTTTATGGAAGAATTTGTAGTTGAAAAGAATAAAGAAAAAAATGTATTTTAAAAAAATAGGAATCAAACAATGTCCAAATGAGGGGTACAATTGAATGAATCACTTAAATTCTACATTTTTATTGAGTCTATCAATTAAACTCACCTGACTAGTGTTGTGGCACCAGTGACACCATATAACATTATTGCATAATAATGTATGAAAGTTTTCCACAATGCACATGAAAAATAATTAGACTGAGAAATGATTTAATAAGCACCCATACTTATGCTAATGATCGATAATGTGACATATCAATTCATTTATAGCTAGTATTGATGATCATCGATACTCAATAGATCATTTTTCTTTTCAATCATGCTACTTGTACAATCTTCTTTGCAACAAGGGTATTACATCTATTCATTTTAGAAATTATTTTTGAAATCAACGACACAGATCTGATCGCACACACAAATTGTCAACAAAGGTTGTATAATTGGCTTTATTCTTTTCTTTTTAACTGAGATATTATAAATAATGCGATTTTACTATAATTAAACATTTTAAGAAAATATGGGTTAAAATATCTTTCTATATATAAACAGTGCCTATTTAACGGCATTTGTTGGTTTAACGGAAAAACTAACGGAATTTGTTGTTTTAACGGATCATGTAACAGAATTTTTTTGTTTTAAACAGGCAGCTGCACCTTCCTTCAGTGTTTTTATCATAACTTTGTATTCCGATATTCGATTGAGGCGATTCAAAATGCGTGGGAAAGCTAACCCATCAAACTACAACTTTGATTCAGACATCATTCTCCAATTCGATCACTTTCTATGCCAAAAATATGTCTCAATATAACGGACTATGTAACGGAATGTTTTGTTTTAAACAGATAGTTGCACCTTCCTTCAGTGTTTTTATCATAACTTTGTATTTCGATATCCGATTGAGGCGATTCAAAATGCGTTGGAAAGCTAAATCATCTTGTTACAACTTTGATTCAGACATCATTCTCCAATTGGATTACTTTCTATGCCAAAAATAGGTCTCAATATAATGGACTATATAACGAAATTTCTTATTTTAAACAGGCAACTGCACCTTCTTTCAATGTTTTTATTACAACTTCGTATTCTAATGTCCGATTGAGACGATTCAAAATGAGTTAGAAAGCTAACTCATCTGGCTACAATTTTGATTCAGACATCATTCTCCAATTTAATCACTTTCTATGCCAAAAATAGGTCTCAATATAACAGACTACGTAACGAAATTTCTTGTTTTAAACAGGCAGCTGCACCTTTTTTCAATATTTTTATTATAACTTTGTATTCTGATGTCCGATTGAGGTGATTCAAGATGAGTTGGAAAGCTAACTCATCTGTCTACAATTTTGATTAGACATCATTCTACAATTCGATCACTTTCTATGCCAAAAACATGTCTCAATATAACGGATTATGTAACAGAATTTCTTATTTTAAACAGGTAGCTGGACCTTTCTTCAGTGTTTTTATCATAACTTTGTATTCCGATATCCGATTCAGGCAATTCAAAATGCGTTGAAAATCTAACTCATTTGGTTACAACTTTGGTTCA